TTTTTCTAGGTAGAGCTGTACACATGACAAGCAACTACTTCTATCATCAAAGCTCTAAAATGCTTAATGCTGATAGAATACTCCAGGGTACTCAATTCAGAATTTTATGTAACCATGATGTCTAAACCTAATCAATACCAAACTAGTCAGACAGGAACATCTCACTATAGGAACATTCTCAAAATATTGTTTTGACAATACACGAGTGAGGTTTTGCTATCGAACAACATTGTTGGAGACCCATATATTGAAATTACAAGTGATAGGCACCACTGCAGTTTTATGTCTGTCGGTTTATAATTTAGAAAAGGATTGCCCACTATTGCAATTCTGATATGTCAGGAGGCAAGGGAACTAAATAATCAATGTTCTTTTTTAACATAATGCACCCATTAACATAAGATATTGTACATAATCAATATATATGCCATTATATTAAATTGTTAAGTAAACCTCAAAGGTTTTACTACTGTGTGGACTTTCCACATAAGTAAAAAGTTCACAGTAAATCCTTTCAGAATTCCAGGTGCCTTGTTTATTTTTAAATAAAAATACAAATCCTTGTCTAGTTAGAATGAAACACATTTTACTTGAGAGAAAAAGAAATGTGCCTTAGAAAAATATGGTTGATCAGGCTGTGTTACAGAAAGAAGCAGTTAAGCTATTGTTCTGAGGAGGATGTTGTTGGTTGTGTACCAGTAAAACAGTTTTACTGGTCTCAGAGGATTTGCCATTGCATTTGCTTGAAAATAAAGCAGTACAGAGCAATATGCAACTGAAAAAAAAAAACGAGGTGACAATAAACCTGCTCAGCATAATCTGCAGGCTTAAAGAAATACACTGTGCGCAGTGTAATGAAAAGAAATTTCAGATTTCAAATGCTATTTAAATGTAATATATTCTTATTCTGTTTTACAAAATTACAAAATGAAAGAATAACATATTCCGAAATACATTTGAAAATGCCAAGAAATCATTCTTTAAATGTATTCAGGTACATTTACTTATGCAAATATTGAGGTGTGCCTGGACATTAATTCATCTTAAAACTGGCATGAATAGACATGAATAGAATCTGTCACAGTTAATCATAATTCAGTCTCATTGTCATAGTTCTATACATTTTAGAGTGATGATATGCAAGCATATCTGAAGCTATCATCATTCAAGTCTGTGTGTAGTATAGCTCATTTTCAGTAAACAATGAGCAAGGTAAAATAACAATTAAGTTTCAAGTGAGATGAAGCTATCTGACACATTATTGGTTGTAATTTATTTATCCAAGAATCTCATCCTACCATCTCTGAAAGGACTGCAGAGTCAACTTCAACAGCATATGTGTATATTTTTATCCAAAAACCCACATCTCTATGTGCATTTCCTCCTTTAAATATTTAGATAAATTCAAATGGCTTAATTCTTTCTGAGCCTTTAGAGCCTGACCTTCCTAAAGTTATTCCTCAATTCAAGCAAATTCTCCCTACTTTATCTGCAGCATACTGGGGTTACTGGCATATACTGTAAAAGCTACAGCATATCACCCAGATGGGTGCTGTACTGTACTTCAGTGTTGGATGACATGGGTTCCCTCCAGTGCTTTGGGATGAAAAGGGTTATGTGAAAGCAGGTAATTATTAAATTGTTAAATGCAAATAATTAGTACAAGTGTAAATTTATTTTAAATTCCCCTAAACGCAGTCAAAATATCAAAAGGAGGTGAGGATGAAAAGCCACCAAAATAAAAAGAAGTGGTTCCACCCTTGTCCAGGTCTTTACTAGCACAGTCCTTGTCTCTCTACAAAAGTAAACCTATATTTAGCAGTGATGTCTTTCACGGTAACAGGAGCGCCTGTGGCCTATTAACATGACAAAAATCTGAGGCCTGGCACATTCCTGTGTATAAATAACCAGAGAGAGAAGGCAATCAGCGTTAGAAGAGAGAGACTGAGAGGGTAAAGGCAATCACTGTGAGTGACAGAACAGCTGCTCCCTGTGTAGTCAATGCAGGGAATTGAAACATGGGGAATTACCTTTCACAAGAGGAGAAACTGAAGGGACAGGCCGTAAGAGGGCAAAATAAAAGCTACAGTATAGTAGGGGGATGGGGAGTGCACATTGGTGATTATTTTAAGTGCATAAAGTATTGCAAAAAGTTTAAGAACTGTGGTAACATACCTAAAACACTAATGTAAAACCTAAAAAATGCATTTTTCTGTCAAACATTTCATTAAATACAACTGTTATCTCACACATTTTAAAACTACTGTATAAGCTATAAGACAACAGAGACTATGTAAAGAGCTTTTTTCATCTTAAAACATTAGTTTTAGAGTGTTTGTTAATGGTAGCCAGTATGATAACTAGAAGGATTGTCTGTAATTTAATTATACTGATTTCATTTTTTATTGAAAACCCCTCTGTGCTTATGCTTATTTCCTAAAAATAGTATTTTAATATAACAAGAATTATTGTAAAATATAGATAAATGTCTCTATTCATTCTCCACACCTGGAACTATATCCTTTCCCTTCCACTGAGTTGGACATGTCTGTCTATTATCATAAACATCTGTTACTTACGTATTGCAAACATATTAGAAGGATCAAATTTAATCAGCCATAGGGTACATTTAATTCAACAGTAAGGGTATTGTGCATGCAGTATTGCATTGAGATTATTAATAAATTGCACTGAGTTGTTTCAAAATGTTTCTAAATAAAAATGCAATGTTGTTATTAATATGGTTCTGCTCTGCTTATAGTTTCTAAAAACGGTTAGAGTTGAATCGAGTCTTTTTTGTCAGTTGTCAGTCAGATCTCCCCTTTCTGTTCCAAATTGGGATATTAGGGTAAAAGGGTAAAAGTTCTAAATTTTTCTCAAAGTGTGAAATTAAAAATATATATAAATGCAGTGGAATTCATAACAATATATGTAGTAAAGGAAAGATCAATGTAGATGTGGGGGAGTAAGAACTGGGCCTTAATGCTGTTGGGAATAAAAGGAGAAGATAAAGTTGCTTTCAGTATATTTAAATATCCTTGTATATTTTTTTTTTATTAAAATAAATAATTGGAAATATAATCTCTATTAGAAGCAAATACATTCATAACATTTCTATTTCATTTCGAAAGCTGATCACATGGTAGCATAATACAGATCGAAGACTGACATTCAAAATGAGAACTTAAATGCCAACATATAATAGTTATAATAATAAAATGAGAGGAACAATATTTGCAAAAGGCTGTCTTTTAGTTTTAGATGTGTTATTTGGATATGTATGTTACTGTGAAGATGGTTATGGAGTCCTTTCTTTTTAATTACTTTTTAAAAACATCATACCAACTATTAAGTGAAAAATTGTCAAATGAAAATCTGTGAATGGCATTAGTAATCTTTAAGGGATCCTTCCTATTTTATGACATTAAACATTAAATCATTTCAAGTGTAAATGTACTTCTTACACTCTACTAACAAAATACAAATCGTATTACAAACCTAAATCCTAACAAAGAAATGTGCCTCTCTTAACATTTACTGGGTTTTACTTCAATGTCTTCATTCAACACAAAAACATAAATAGGTCAAAAGAAATATAAAGAAAAAACATTGGAACTAGTCATATTGATGTAAATGTATAATATGGTCGGATCTTGATATTTTTCATTTCATAACAGAATTGCATCATAATCTGAAAATTGCTGTCTAGGAAGTTTCCAGAATGCAAAGATGATAAGGGGATATTTGAATGTGTGATGAGACAAATTATATGGCATACTACACTGTAGTGTTAAAAAATACAACAAAGTGCCAAAATCTTTTCCAGTCACTAAACTAATTTCTGTGGGAAAAGAAGACTCAACAAAGAACAGAAGAATTGGGAATAAGATAATTATTACACTTTTACTTAAATTTCAGAGTTGATATCAGAAAGATAACAAAAAGAAGGAAGTTAAAATTAGACTTGGGCAGAGTTAGGGAAAATACATTTTAAAATGTAAGATGTTTACTTTGCTCATTATCAACTATAAAGAATTTTTGATTTACCATTTACCACCGTACAATTTCCTTCATTTATGTATTTATGAATCAAGGGATTCTGTAATTTCTTGGGAGTTTTTGTTGATAACATGATTCAATCCATGTGCAGATACTGTATATACTTCTTACTTAGGTGTAACTCTTTCTGAATTCCCGAAGATGTATATAGCAAACCTCAGAAACCATCAATTTGTAACACTTGGTTCCATAAAAACCTCAAAGTTATCTGGGCCCTACTCTGGTATCCACGTGCTTTATCCATATGAACTCTAACTGAACTGAATTTGCATTCAACAGTTGGATTTTAGGTGGAAATACACATCTTGATTCAGGATTACAGTTGACACCATCATTCCATACTGTCCTACCCAGATTAGCACTGTGGTTAACTGTCATAAAGACACGTTTAACAAAGTGGCAGAAGATGATACAGCTACTCCATCTTACTGTGCCTCCCAATGACCCACCATTTTAAGAGACACAACCAGCGGTGGTTACCAGTTATTTAAATCAATATTGCTTTACAGTACTTTATCCATCCATTATTAATGCATAATACAGAATGAAACTAATTAGTATTTAGTAGTAGATGCTGATACTTAATTTTAAAGTACAGTACTACACAGAAATAAAATCTTTACTGTGAATTAAATCATAGCTTTGTTAAGTTTGCCTTATCTTTCAAACAGAATTAAGACTCTGTAAACTCAATGCAGAAACAAAACATAGTCTTCTGACGGTAAAAGCTAGAGCCATAGTGCAGTGAACCATTCCAAACAAGTTTTTGTCTGCACCTTACACACTGTAGGCCTTATTTTTAATAACCTCTGAAAATGGAAAAAACAACAACATTTTTTAAAAAACTGTTAAAAAACATATTAAAAAACAGTGAGCACTCTAAGAGAAAAATAGTTAATAACCAATACTGATTAGAGATAAATGTTGTCTTTTTGAATTACCTTCCAGGTCCATGACAGCAAGGACAGCGCTGGTTCTTGCCTCTCCCAGCGGGTTGGTCGCTATACAGGTGTAGAGCCCAGCATCACTGAGCTTGCAGTCCCTGATCCACAGCCCTCCATATTCCTGGTTATCCATAGGAAGCAGCATGTCGTTGCGGTACCAGTGCAAGTTAGGTTGCGGATCACCTGCCACTGTTACTTTCAGACGGATGTCGCACCCCGTTCCCACAGCTGCATTTTTCATCTTGCGGAGGAAAACCGGTGGTGTTCGGTAAGAATACTCATCTGAGCCTCCTAGCTCTGGTACCACCTGATCCGGAACCACTTTGGCACGTTTCGATGGGATGCCAGGACTAGGGGGCGCCACTCCTATCCGCCCCCGGGCTCCCTCCTCCCCAGGCTTCTTCAGGGTCATCTGGACTTCAGCCTTTCTCATTGTTGGAATCTTCTTCTTTAAGCTCTTGTAAGTGCCCCAAAATCAATTATTTTACTTTTATTTTCTCACTATTCCTTTTACAACTTTTTTCCAAAATCTTTTAAACTCTTTATTATTTTGGCCCTTGAACTTTTGCCATTCTTTTTAGTTTACAATTATTTCTTAGCCTGGATTGTCTTGGCAAGCAAAAGCGTTCATCAGCAGGCAAATCCTCTAATTAATGGTGGCTTTGAGAATAATTTTATATTTGAATTCAAGTATTCCAAAACTTTTTGTGTGAGTAAACTACAATTTAGATGCAAAGTAGCTTTTAAAAATTCATAGTTTTAAACATTTTTTCTACAATTTATGAAGATTTACAAATAACATACAGATGTATCTCTTCAACATAACTTTAAAAAATTAACTCCTTCATAAATTCTGGTTGTTTTCTTCATATTAAATCCTAGCCTAACAGTCATGCTTCCAGAATTGCAAACTTGAACCTCTGCATTACGTTTATGTCTCCAAAATAATGCCTTATTAGATCAAGCCTTAGAACCTTAGAACATATGAGTAATAAATAAATGTATTACCTTAATGTTACTACAGCCAAAAAGCTTTGGAATACTCTTCACCTCCTAGAACAGTTCAGATAAAGTGATTAGAAAGAAAAACTAAAGGTTTAATCTTTAGCCAATTAAAAAAGATACAGCCCGTCCAGTTTCTCCTAGTGAAGCAAAGTTGATGGTATTTTTAGTGCAAGTCCCACTGGATCATATTGCATTAGCAACCTCCTTGTATTGCCTTTTGGAACTGCTGAGGTCTGCTTTACACCCTTCTGTGTGGATCTTCAAGGTCTTAAGGGACCTGGGGAGTCTTATAGCTTCTTGGTTGCAACTTCTTATGCTTCCGGTATTACCAAATTAATTTGCCTTTCATACATGTTTCTGTCTCTGTAGGCATCTAGTTCTATTGTGCCTACGGTGTCCACACTTTCTTTGAGTATAGCTCTTGCAGTCACACTCTCTCTCCCTATCTAGTTGAGTCCCTGGGGAGGTGATTGTTGAGTCCCCTAAGCCTTGAAGTGACAGCTGCTCACTGATCAGTCACATTCTTTGGACAGTAAAATTCTTCTTCCTCCTACCACCCCCTCGGACATCTAGCCAACCAAACAACCCACAGTGTGCATGTGAGACTGCAAAAGGAGGGAGAGGAGATTAAGTTCTGATTCATTTGTCAAAGATAGAAGCCAACCAGGAACCTGCAAACATAACTTCAAATGCATCAGGTGTAAGCAGAGGGCAGCCTCCAATCTCCCCTGGATCTTAGTGCAGATCAGTCCTTCCAGCTATAATCTAGTAGTATTGATATCTGTCCTAATCGCTGTGTATATCATACTGGAGATGAGGACACAAGGATTAGGGAAAATGAAGGAAGCATTGATTTAGAAAATGTAAGAACAATTTTGATTGTTTTAAATGTAATTGTATGTACAGTGACTTTTACAAGTATTCAGAACTAGGCACAGTTTTTTTATTTTGTTACTTTAAAGCTTCCAGTCATGAAGTAATCTCATTGAAGTAGCCATTATTATTATTTGTTTCATATATTTACTCCAAACAAAGTAAAAAAAAATCAGAGAGAAAAAAAGTACATAGATAATACAAAAGAAGTGAAAAAGTCATGATTGCATAAGAAAAGTATTCAGTCTTTTTTCAATATTCAGGTTTTTTTTCTCTTTAGGTTTTTTCTGACATTTATAGTATCTTATCCATAGAAGTGTTCAGTTCAAAGATTCAGGTTTTGAATAAGTGTCTAATATGTGTGCATTAAATTTTGAATACATTCCAATGTTTACATTCATGCTAAGACATTACCATAATATAAAATGCTTGATCCTAAAATTGATATTATTGTTAAAATAACTTTTAACCATTCATCTTTATAAGAAGCAGTTAAGCTGTCTGTTTGTCATGTGCTATCTGATATACTGATATATTTAAATTATGCTAAGGAACAAGTAATAGGTTTATTCCATGCTGAAAAGAGAAGAGAGAAAACACAACGTTTCGGCTGTGAAGACTTCTTAAGGTATGAGAAAGACAGGGCAGACAGCAAAAATTAAATAGCACAGAAGAACAGAAGCTGGGGGAGGGGAGGAGGCAGGAGGGACAGAGAGGCAGAGACCCCACTCAGGAAGTGCAAAGTGGACAGGGGTGAAGAAAGGTGTGAAGTCAAAACCTGCATGAGAATAAAGAAGATTACATGAAAAATAAGTCGGTCATTGATAGAAGGGGGGTGGTGTGAACCTAGTTTCAGGATGAGTTTCTTTTCTGTTGTTTTTCTGCTATGGGAGTTGAGAAACTCTTCTTTGAGAACAGAGACAGAGATCAGTGTAATCATGGCCATCTGAGGTGAAATGAAAAACTATGGGCTTGGAGAAATCTTTAATCTTCACAGACCTAACATGTTCTCTGAAGGTCTCCTAGTCTCTTTCCGGTTTCCCCAGTGTAGATAGCTGGGCATTGTTTACAAGAGATACAGTAAATAATTTGCAGGTGTATGCATTGCAAGTTCTGTTGCAGGGGAAGGTGCCTGGTGGGGATGATTGCCGAGTGTGTTCAAGGGAGCTGTGAACCAGAAGTTTATGTAGATTGGGTGGTCGGCAGTATGAGATGATTGAGCAGTTAGAAAAAAAGGGTACCGATGGAGGGATTGCCCTGTAAAATGGAGTAGTTGTTAATGATGGTCCTGGGGATAGAAAGGAATGCTGTTGTAAGACCAAGAGTTCGTGGTTGAGTTGATGATGTGAGGGCTGTTTTTGGCCCGGGTGAGGGCCCTATCAATAACATGCTCTTCAAAGGCTCGATATTTTAATTATTATGAAGGTCATCAGTCTTAACTTAAACTTATAATTTGAAAGCACTTTATTGGCCATATACAATTTATTGTATTAGGAATTTGTCTTTTCACATACCCCAACTTTCTCTCCTTGAGACACACAGAGAGGGAGAGAAGCTTGGGGTCAGAGCGCAGTGTCAGCCATTTATACAGTACCCCTGGAGCAGTTGTGGTTAAGGGCCTTGCTCAGGGGCCCAATGGAGTAGAATTCCTCTGCTGGCTGCAGGATACGAACCGGCAACCTTCCAGCAACAGGCGCAGATCCTTAGCCACAGAGCCACTGCCCCACCCTTTTTTTTATCTTGGGATAAATTAGGTGATATGATCGTTAATTTCACTTGCAAAGGAGCTCATGATAGGATGTTCCACGATAATATAAGTTTTAAGAAGGATTAAAATAAAATTACCACCAACCTTCAGACATGATGAAATTCAGCTGGTTTACATGACAGATGATCTGATGGTTGTTTTTTGAGCAGAATCATTTTGACATAGTTCATAGTTGTTGTAACCCAGCCTTTGAATATCCTTAAACAGAAACAGACTCAGAAATAAAAAAAACAAAATAAATAATAATACAAATTGTAAACTTCTCTGTAGTTCTAAAAATGTAAAACAATGCTTATATGGAGCTTCAAAACAGAAAGCACATCCCTCAGATCCCTCAGATACATACAAAACTATAGCAAAAATGAAACATGGACATACCTATTCACTATCCGTCATCAATGATGAAAGATCTTCTCTTTTGTAACCTCTACTGTGATCTTATACCAAATTATGGAAAACCTCAAATACTGGTGAATAGGAGTAGAATTAGATTTGTTTTTTTATATCAGAATAGATGTATAATGGGCAAATATCAATATAACTAAATACATGTTTATAAAAGAACAGTCTCAACAAGTCATCTTGTGTTCAATTAGATGATTACTGAAGATGCAGTTGAAAATAAAGGTTCTCAATTCTCTGATTTTCCCAAAAAACACTGCTTACTTTAGTTACTGTGATTTTGCACTGCCAGTTTCAGTTTAACTTCTAGAAATGTGTTTTATAGACAGAAATCATCACCTTTGTTACATGTAAAAATTGAATTAAATTCTCTAAAGTTTCGTTCTATTTGTAGTCTGATAAAGTGAGTGTCCACACTGTGATATTTAAGGTTTTTCTGAAGTATATTAAATGTATGATATGAATTCTGATAACTGCAAAAGATGAACCAGACATCTCCACCTGCTGGCCACTTCATCCCTACTGTGCAGTTTTTTTTCTTTTTTCAAACACATAGACATTAATATTGTTTTTTTAAAGAAACCTGTTCCTTATACAGTATATGAAGCACAAAGACAACTGAAAATTTATTTTAAGATGAAGACTATATAATATGATTGTATTTACTTTGTTTTTCATGATGCAATCTGTAGTTTTAAATTTACAAGCATAACCCTGGAGATTATTGGAAACAAAAATGAATAACATTTGGGGGCATTGTGGATCAGTCTACAGCATATCAGCAAAAATGAAATTGCTGAAAATTATTTTTGTCTTTTTCATTCAGTGCAACACAGAAAAGTCAGGAGTCATTTAAACTCACTTTGCTGAAGAAGTGCCTTCTTTCCAGTGAATAAAAAGAGTGTTAAATTGGAAATCTACAACACACAAATGATAACATAATCTTGAATATTATCTGTATTTTGGGACCTTGAAATCCATCAAATCTTATTTTCTGTTATTTGCACAACATAATAACACAATTGAAAACTGATTTAAAAAATGAGGAAAATATTTTCATAGCAATACTAAAAAAGATCATATTGAAGACATTGTCTGCTTATGATTAGTGGAGTAATTTTTTGCCATCCAGCAGGCTCAAACTTTTTTCAACAAATTCCTTTTAAACACTTTTCCACTGGTAGTTCAGTTCAACTCTTAATATGCTATTCGGTGAAGACACAGATCTGCAAAGATCTGTGTTATCTGAAGCACATCACAGTAGCAATAAACCTCTTTTTCATCTAGTCTCTATTAATTTACTCAGCTGAACTGCTCTGTGCATTTTTGCCCTCTGTGTGCCTACCTCCTTTACACTATTCTTAAAGTAAAACCTGCCTGAGTTGCTTCCTCAGTGTCTGGTTGCCTTGGAAACAACCTCACAATAATGCATGAGGGCTACACATCCAGTATTCTGTCTTACTTATGACTAGTGTGTGGGTCCCGAGGTGGACTGGAAGTGAGAAGGTAATATTAAAATGAATCCAAGATTTTTGGTTGCTTTTTTATTCAAGAGAAGATTTTGTGAAATATTTTGTCAGATTTATAAATAATATAATGAGCTTAATGTTTTATCCATGGTTCAGCAGAAACATGAAAGAAAGAACCAGAAATGATGTCTTGTTACGGGTGCAAATTTAACAGACATTAATTAATATTACTCAGAAATCTGTAGTAGGGTTCTTTTTACTTTGCAGTTAATAACACTGCACATTTCTGCAATCTTCTGATTTTCAGAAGCATCAGACCACTTCAAAATGTCTTCAGCAACAGTGAACATAATTAGGGTCTACATTGTAGAAAACATTTAATGTGTTGATTCAGTCACACACTATTCATAGTCTTTCCAATGCTAATAGAGTATTTAAAGGATAATTCACCTTGTTCAATGTGACAACTGTGGTGAGTATACTTCAGAGATTAAAGCATTTAAAATAAATATATCAGTCTAATTGTATTTGTTAACAGAAATCGCCAAACAACACTTACTTTTCAGGTCACACTTTATTCCTGATGTTTTAAAAAAATATTAAGATTTCAGATCAATCTGGAAAATTCTTTCTTTTCCAATGTGTTCTGGCTAGTGGGTATCAAACGAATAGACTACTGGCCTGGAGTGGGAGTTTAAAATCTTTGTTTTGACACTTAGCACATGTAATAGTTTGTAATAGTTTTGGATAATGAAAGCCTGCCTGAAAGCACCATTACTACCATCGTGCCCAATCACAGAAACACTTTCTTTTTGGCATTAGGCTATGTCTTAACCATCTAATGGAAATCCCTGTTGTCACAGTTGCTCCCCATAGAGATTTTTAGGTTAAGGAAAATGGGAAGTTTCATTTTACCAAGAATCCTGCTGCTCATTAAACCCTCTTATGTCATTAACTCAATGAAGCATAACAAAAACTACACAACATCTTAATGTTCATTTGCCATGGAAAGTCT